CCCCCAGAAGAGGGGGACGGTGCATGCTCCAAGGACCAGGGGACTCCCGCGTGAAGAGCAGAATTACCGAGTGAGAAAGGGTTTCCTGAGTGAGGAAAGGGGCTCTTATGAGATGGGGGGCCCAGTTTGAAGGGGTTGTGTGCAGTTCCGGGGGAAATCTTGAGAAGGGAGCGCTGATACGGGGGCCGTTTATCAAAGGAGGCTGTATGCACTCCTGGAGGTGGGAAGTGATCTGATAGAAGGGCCTGAACACACGTAAGGACCCCCGGAGATCCCGGGAGGCCTGGGGAGAGGCCCGGCAGGTGGCAGGGGGCGGGATCCAGGTGTCCAGGAGAGGAGGGGGTCGACACAGATGGGCCCAGAGCTGCCGCATGCCGGGGGCGGGGGCTCCACGGGGCTGGGCTGGCCTTGGCTGGTGTCTCTTGGGAGAAGGCGCCAGAGCTGGGCTGTGAGCTCCTCCCCAGCCGGGCCTGACGCTGGGGCGAGGGTCAGGGGGCGGTGGGTGGGGATCCAGCCGCGGGATTCCCCCCCGTGAGTCTGGGGAGCTGGAGCGGAGGCGCCGGAGCATGCGCGGAGGTGGCTGCTGGAAGGGGCTGCCCGATGTGGTGGGGGCGTGGCTGCCCGATACCCACCCCCCCCAACATCCCTCCAGGTTTGGCTTGGAAAAAGGAGCGCGCTGTTTGGGTGCATTCTCTCTAAAGTCATCGCTAGCAGAGCACAAGTGGAAATGGGCCCCTTCCTCATCTTGGGGCTCTTGCACTTCGTTCTGAAAACCCTGTCACAATTTGCCAAGAATGGGTTGAGGGAAACTGCCAGAGTGCCTTTTTCTGCCACTGGGATTAAGAAAGAATGTGGAGACCAAGGCAATGTTTTGAGGACGGGTCCTTCCTGAGGACAGGCCTTAGAGAATGTGTTGGTTACTGAGGGACTAAGGCCAGGACGAGGTTTACCTAGGAGCTGTCTGCCTGGTTTGCACGTTTCTGATCGTGTAGTAGAGTTAGGATCTTTTAATCCAAGGATAATGATGTCAGAAGTGTCTCCTAAGAGGACAGCTTAATCTTTCTATACCTAAATGTTTTCATGGTTGCTATCCCCCTTAGGGTATCTTTGCTTTTTCCTCTCTCTACTCCCCAGAAACTGTCGGGGCCATGCTATTAGACCCAAGGTTGCCAAGCTAGCCTTTTGTCACAAATAAGTTGTTTGGGATAGGAAGGATTTTTTAGACTTCACCGTGGTGGATCCCAGGTGATAGCCTTAACTTCTTATTCACAGTCAAGAGAAAAAGAAGTAAGAGCAGAAAAGAAACTGAGGCAGGGCTGCCCCAAGAAGACCAGAGTCCCCAGGATGGGCTGTGGAGTGGTAGCAACTCCTGTGTCCTAGGTCTCTTACCCTTTTGATGGGGGAACAGTCTGGACCTGGGAATCCTTTAGGTCTTGTCTCACCACTTCCTTCCATTTGATCTAGGGGTGGGAATAGGATTTCCATTTGGGACATGAATTTCATTTCACTTGGGATATGAATTTCATTCTAGTTGAAGGAACTTTGACTTTTATACCAGATCTAACTCCCTCAAGGAAATAGCTCCTATCAACTCATTCAAGTCATCCATTCAGTAGTCTATAAGTACTTAGTGACTTCTTTCCCTTTACGAAAACAACCTTATAAAGGCTATGTAAGTCTTAAGATGGCATTTAGGAAGCAACTGACTTCAGAAAACCATTTCCTCCTTCTTTTAAGCCCCTTGCTCCATTCCAGGAACTCTCCTGGTTTTCTGGGTGGAAGACTATTTGTAACAACCCGTGGACTAGAGTGAGAGTAGGTCACAGAGGTCCAGATGGATTGCTGGGAGCTGGCATCCATACCAGACTGCTAATGATTTTATTCTGATGAATTCCTAATGGGCTCTGGTGTGATGGAAAAATTTACTTTGTTGTTGTTGTTGTTACAATAAGCTTCTAGGGAAGAAACTAGAGCTTGATGTCTAGAGTTGGCTGTAGCCTAATGGAGCAGGCTTTAACTCATCAAAGGATGTAATTGAAATTAAATCTGGAAGCTGTGAATGGAGGGACCCCATAACTGCCTCATTCCTAGGCCCAGACTATTCTCTTGGAGGTTGGGGGACATAGTACACAAAGCAAGGTATTGTTGCTGGCTTCACTGGACTTATTTCCAGGTGTGCCTTCTGTGCTCAGGTGTGTTTCAGGCACATACACTGGACTGGGAGCTCCCAGAGGGTAGAGGTGGTGACTGATTTATCTGTGGAATCAACGAATGTCTAGGCCCTGCCACAAGTACGTGTTTGTTTATTGAATTGAATGTGTGAACATAAATGGTTAAGCACGTGTGGATATTTAATAATTTATGTGTACTCACGTGTGGACAGATTCTTTTTGAAGGGATTGGCCTCTTATTTGCTTACCGGACAGCTAACCCAGCCTTGAGTTTGTCCTTTGAATGGTCAGTCTAGCTTCTTGGGAGGTATGTGGGCCTTGGAACTGCAGGGAAGGAACCTCTGAGCCAGGCCTTTCGGCTCTGTTACTTTTCCTTGTCAGGGCTGGTTGGGGATGGGGGAGGGGGAGTGTCCTTTACATAGCCCCTCCCTCCTTGCTTTTGTCTGCAGGGAAGGGCCCCGCCCCTTTCCCCCAAGGCCCAAGCTTTGTCCTCTGTGCTGGGGCCCTCATCTGCATCACAAAGTGGCCGTCTGTCCCTGTCTGGATCTGAAGGGAAGTGTCTCCCTTTCTCAGACTAAAAGCTGGGGGCAGGGTGGGGTTGGGGGGAACTTTGTACTGCTGTAAGTCTTGCAGAGGGTTGGAGTGGGAGAGAGGTTCCCTCTTACTTCTGCCTTCCCTAGTTTGGGGGTGAAAGGGAGGGTGGGGGCTCTCTCCCCTGTTTTCCCAAAGCCTCCTTGGAGTGGAGGGTGCCTAAGGCTAAGTCTGGTGTATAGTCCTATTTTGGGGGAAGAGAAGGCTTTGAGGCTAGAGTGTCTGTCCCATCCCCCATCATTTCTACTGAGCTCTAGGGGATGTCTTTCTCCCAAGACTCCAAACAATTATTCTGCCTGGGAGGCTAAGGAGATGAATGGAATGTAAGAACTTGGGGAGGGGAAGGTTGTCTCTTATCAGCTACATCCTTTTAGGGTCATGTTTGTCCTGTTCAGGGTTTATAATTGTTCCTGCTGTTTTTAGGTGTTCATGTGTTTGTGTGTTGTGTATGTATGTGTGTTCTTTGTAGTGTGTCTATGGATCTATTTGTTCATTCATTTAGTATCTGTATAGTGAACACCTCCTGTATGCCAGGCACTGGAGATTCAGCACTGACCAAGGCAGATACAGTCTGAATCTTTGAAGAACTCACAGTCTAGGGTGGTAAGGCGTGTGTGTATAAAGATAAACTGTTAAGGTCTAAGCGTGTGTTTAGATGTGTATAGAATAGAGAAATGTGTCCTTCTGTGTGTGTATATCTGTCTATGGCTTGTGTACAATTTCTGTCCAGCTCTTTCTGGAATAGGTAGCCATGCTAGTGGTTAAGCTTTCACTTCCCCAGATGGCTGCATTCTGAAGGCCTTTTCCCCCCAGGCTGGGCCTCCATTTCCCTGTCTGCAGAGTGGGGTAGGCTTGACAGGTGGTTAGAAGGAGACACAGCAGCTTAACTCTGGGAAGCATGCCCCTCCCTTAAATGGTTCTGACCTCTTCCTGACCCCCCAACTAAGGATATGTCCCATCCCCCCAGCTTGGCAGACAGTGAAAGCAGATCTCTGGTGTTAGGAGGTTCTGGGCTGGTTTATCCCTCTCTCTTCCCACCTGGGCTGGTCCCCTACCGGCAAGAACAATAGTAGATGTGGAGAAAGAATTCTCTTAGGCAGTTTCCCTTTTTTCTCCCTTTCCCCTCTAGCTAGAAAATAAAACTAGGGGCAGCAATCAGGCTGGTGGCAAGAGAGGAGAAAGTAGTGGGAGCTGGCGCTTCCCTAGTCCTTTCCCAAAGGCTTCCTCTCTCTTAAATTTGATCCCTTCTTCTGTCTGGGCACTGTGTAGAAGGAGCTGTGGACTGTGGAGAGAATCTTGTGTTCTCCTTCCCAGAGCCAGTCATCTCTTCCTTCTCCAGCCATCATGCTAATGGCTGCCCCTCCATCCCAAGTCCTTTCCTGTAGCTTACTCTTGCCTCAGTCTCCTATATTTAGCCTGTCTTCATTCCCTAGCTTTTTCTTCTTTTGAACTTTTTCCTCATTGTCTCCCCACTTGCAACCTTGCTTCTTGCCTGGGGCCCCAGCTCTAACCTGTCTTGCCCCAGCCCCTAACTTCAGCCTTTCTTCTTCCCAATTCAAGTGTTTTTCTGCTGTGACCTCTAGTTTCAGCTTCTTCACCAGCTTCCCGCTTCAGCCTCTCTCCTTCCCTTAGTCTCCAAACTCTGTCCTTTTAGTCTTTTCTCCTTTTCTTTTTCTCCAACATCAGCCATTCAGTTGCCTTAATCCTTTCTCAAACACTGCCCCCATCCTTCTTGCCCCCCACCCCCATTGGCCTTCTTTGGATCTTCCTCCTACCTGCGGTGCAGAGGAGCATTAAGATGATGCTATTTCATGTTCAGGGTGGTGATGAGTGAAGTGAGCATCAGGCTGACAGATAATAGGGCTTTCTTGGTTTGCTAGATAGCTGTTGGAGGCAGATGTCTTAATCTAGTAGAAGAAAGAGTTTTTAGTTACTGGAGCCAGATTTAGCCCCCTACTTAACATGTAATAGGAAGTTATTATGTATTCACTTGGTGAATTTAAGATAGATAACAGGGGTAATTTTCCTACTGGAAAGTTTTTAAAAAATGAGCCTAGATTGTCTGAGCCAGTAGAAGCCCTCAGTTGGACTGGGTAGGCAAGAAAGAGACTTCCCCTATAGTCTGCTGCTCCTGTTCTAGGAGGCCTTGACCTTCTCTGATTAGAGTGGTAAGAATATACAAGATTCTACCCTCACCAGCCTCTCTGTCTTATAGCTGCAGGCGCCTACCTGCCCCCTCTGCAGCAGGTGTTCCAGGCACCTCGCCGGCCTGGCATTGGCACTGTGGGGAAACCAATCAAGCTCCTGGCCAATTACTTTGAGGTGGACATCCCTAAGATTGACGTCTACCACTACGAGGTGGATATCAAGCCGGATAAGTGTCCTCGCAGAGTCAACCGGTAAGTGATATACACCTAAGCCGCCAAGTCCAGGAGTCCTTATTTTCCTGAATCTCAGAACCTTGAAAGAGAATGCAAAGAGGTAAAAGAAAAACTAGTAGAAGGTAGTATCACCAAATTCAAGAAAGTTTTTGAGAAAGAGACTCTAAGTAAGGCAAATGTTGAAAAATATCACTAGATCTGACTTAGGAGATAATTGGTACCTTTTGCCACAGCAGTTTCAGTGGAGGAGTTGGGCTAGTAATCCTAATTGTGAGTTAAGGAATAAGTGGGGGGTAATGTGGTAGGGATAGTGAGAGCAGATAGCTTTTTCTAGATAGCTTGAGGGTGAAGAACGGTGAGAGAGGGAATATGTTGGCTAGAGAGGATTATAGGGGTCAAGGACAGTGCCTACAGCATTTCAGTATTTGTTGAAATGAATAAATGATGAAAAGTTTTAAAGAATGAGACATGAATATGTTTATAAATGGAGAAGGAGCCAGTGAAGAGAGGTTAAAGGTACAGTACAGAGAGGGACAGAATGAATGGGATGTCCTTGCTGAGGCAGGAGGACATCTAGGATACACAGTTGGAGGAATTAACCTTAGAAGAAGCAATATTTATTCTTAAAATTAATTTGTTTTATTATTATTTGGAAAATATATATGTGCAATGTAAAAAGTTTTAAATACTACAAAAAAAGTAGCAGTGAACAGTATCTCCTATTACCCTGGTTGCCAGTCTCCTAGTCCCTTTCCCCAGAGACATTGATTGTTACCATTTTTTAGTATACTTCTAGATTTTTTAAATGTATATGCGAGCATATATGTATATAGAACACTTTTTTTAAATGCACAGAACGTAGACTCTTATATACCTTGTTCTGCACCTTGCTTTTTCCACTGAACAATGTATTTTGAAAAATAATATATATCATTACATATGTATTTGCCTCATTCTTTTGCATAACTCCATAGGTACTCTATTGAATGGATGTATTATAACCTGTTTAATAAAACTGTTAAGGATCGTTTAGGGTGAGTGCAAACTTTTGCTACAAAAATGAAACTGTGGAATATTAATATAGATAAATTTTTGCACTCAAATATGAGTGTATCTGTGGGATAAATTCCTAGGACTGAATTGCTGGCACAATATGTTTAAAACTTTTGAGATATTGCCAGTTTTTTTTAAGATAAGTTGTACCAACTTACACTCCCATCAGCAAGGTATCAGAGATGCCCCTTTCCCATATCTGCACCAATCCACTATATTGGATTTTTTAATCATTGGCATTCTGCTAAGTAGAAAATTATATCTTGGTCTAATTTTAAGTTGTGTTTCTTGAATGAGTGAAGTTAAACATTTTCATGTTTAAAAATTATATATGAAAGGGATATTTCAAATGTGAAAGGAAAGAATAGAAGAGGCATGTATATGTAAATGTGTTTGTTTATGTGACTGGGAACTTGTAGATGGCCTCACCTACTGCACTTAACTCTTTTGAAAGTTATTAAAAATGCCTTTTGATACCAGATAGGAATGAATTCTGGAAAAGATGTGTCACAGTCCATTAAGATGGAAGATCAGGGATATGAAGAAGATTGCTGGGAGCACTGAAGTTTAATTAGGATTGAAACCATGTGTTTATAGTTGCTTCCAGTGTTCATTTTGAACCTTTTTATCCAGTAGTATTAAAGAGCTTTGGTTTAGAAAGTGAAGAGGTCAGATAGTTGGATGAGCTGGGATTTTGAAGGACAGATAGATACTCTGAAATCTCTGAAAGTGGCAGAGGACAGGAAGGGAAATCAAGAAAGAGATGATAATGGAGAGAAAGCTGGGTGGTGAAACTAAGGACTTCAGAGAGATGCAAGAGATGAGGTTCTTCTTCCACAGTTTATTCCTATTCCAGTTCAGATCTCTTCCCCACCTACCATTTTTGGTTATCAGCCTGGGGATTGGAGCAGCCTGAATTTTGTTTCTGATTCTAGATAGACCCTGGGATTAAGCCCTTCTCTTCTCAGCCCCAGGCCCCCTACCCACCAGCTCAGAAGGTGCTCACACCCACTCTTTTAGGTCCTTCAGAGCCTTGGTGATCTGAGGACCAAAAATATCACCTGGGAGCATGTTAGAAATGTAGAATTTCAGACTTTGATCTAAACCTACTGAATCAGAGTCTGTATTTTAATAAGATCTACAGGTGATTTGTATAAATGTTGAAGTTTGAGAAGCACTGTCATAGAGTAGAGGTTAGTAGCTGTTAAGAGAAAATGTAATAGTTGGGATGTTGCCCAGACTTCACATTACTTCCAAAAGCTTGAAGTATTAGTCTTTCAGCTCCCACTTGCCTCTCCTATTCCCCACAGGGAAGTGGTGGAATACATGGTCCAGCATTTCAAGCCTCAGATCTTTGGTGATCGCAAGCCCGTGTATGATGGAAAGAAGAACATTTACACTGTCACAGCATTGCCCATTGGCAATGAACGGGTAAGGTTGGGAGTCAGGCTGGACCTGGGTCAGAGGTCTAGGGAGGGGCAGAACTCACAGAAGCTTGTTTAGAGTCTGACAATCCAGAGATCCCCTTCATCTTTTGTGTTAAGAAAGTGCATCTTAGGGTGAGGAATGGGTAGGTGCTGATTTTTATTTAGCCTACTGTATGTCTGTCCCTTTTGCAAACAGACTGAGGCTAGACTTAAAATAGACCTAAAGGACTTTCTGCTAAGTATGGTTGAGAGGGACAGAAGCAGTGAGCCAGTGTGGCTGGAGACTGAGGGACTAGATTTACTCTGAAGTCTTCTGTGCAAGTCCTTGTCAGCTTAAGAAACAGATTCTTGGCAAATCTATTGAGTGAAGGACAGTAGGGGTATGACAAGGAATGTTGGACTATGGGAAAGCATTGACAGCCCTTCACCCCTTTCTCTTTCCTGAAGGTTGACTTTGAGGTGACAATCCCTGGGGAAGGGAAGGATCGAATCTTCAAGGTTTCCATCAAGTGGCTAGCCATTGTGAGCTGGCGCATGCTGCATGAGGCCTTGGTCAGTGGCCAAATCCCTGTTCCCCTGGAGTCTGTGCAAGCCCTGGATGTGGCCATGAGGCACCTGGCATCCATGAGGTACTTGATGTAATTAGTGTCTGGGCTACTAGTGGTGGCAGAAGTGCTATGAGGGGAGGAGGGGAATGAGCATATATTAAGGTCCCACAGTGTGCCTTTCAAATAAAATATTCTTTGAAGCCCTACCATATGCCAGTCAAATGTGTACATTTAGATGGTTTAAAGCTTTGGCCCTGTCCCTTTTAGATACCTTTGGACCTCACCTCATCTGTCCCTGCAGGGCAGAGAAAGGGTAGAGATTTGCACAAGGTCAGTCACACAACTAGTGAAGGATCAGAGCTGGAATTAAAGCCCTGGTGTCCTGCCTTCCAGGCCAGGGCTCCTCCGTGCCCAGGATGCCTCACAGGGTGGGGGCCTGTGCCCGAGGGACCAGTTCTCTGCCTGTCCCTGCCAGGTACACCCCTGTGGGCCGCTCCTTCTTCTCACCGCCTGAGGGCTACTACCACCCGCTGGGGGGTGGGCGCGAGGTCTGGTTCGGCTTTCACCAGTCTGTGCGCCCTGCCATGTGGAAGATGATGCTCAACATTGATGGTGAGTGGGGAGAGCTATGGAGCCAGGGGCACCCTGAGTCCAGTGACCACACTCCCAGCCTCATCCCTCCCAGCTCTGCAACCACACTCCTAGTCTAATCCCTACAGCCCTGGGACCCCCTCCCCCATCCCAATACCCTATAAGGAAGAGGGTGTAAAGAGCAGTGCCTTCATTTATTTTGGAAGACAGAACCTGAGCTGAGCTTTCCCTACCCTGTCCCCACAGTCTCAGCCACCGCCTTCTACAAGGCGCAGCCAGTGATTGAGTTCATGTGTGAGGTGCTGGACATCAGGAACATAGATGAGCAGCCTAAGCCTCTCACGGACTCTCAGCGTGTGCGCTTCACCAAGGAGATCAAGGGTGAGGATCCAAACAGGCCGGGAGGGAAATCAGTGCTACTTTCTCTTTAGTCCTAAAAGGAAATCCCCTTGGGCTATGTTCAGGGGAGAGGCCAAGCCTGGGCACAGGAGCAGCCTTTTCCAACCCTGACAAGCAGTATGTGTATCCCAGGCCTAAAGGTGGAAGTGACCCACTGTGGACAGATGAAGAGGAAATATCGCGTGTGTAATGTTACTCGCCGCCCTGCCAGCCATCAGACGTAAGTTGACAAGGCTGCTAAGCCCTACCATTGATGGAAGAGGGCTGATATTTTAGCATACTCTCTTCACTCTCTCCACCCTACACCTTGCCCTGAGGACAAGCCCTGTTTTCAAAGATAAACTGTAGAAATTTGATATCCCTCCCATAACCTTCCCAGGTCCATTGATACTCTCCTACATTTTTACCTTCTTAGTCTCCACCTGTCCTCCTTTACTATAGAGCAAGCATCTTCCACTGACTCCTGTCTGAGTTGTATTAATGTTAGAATCTCTTATTCTTCTTCCTGAAAAAGAAAGCTGAGATCCTAGGCTAGACCTTGGGGAAGCTGTCGCTGATTCCATCCACCTTCTTCACCTCATACTATACTGGACTATGAGTGCCTACTGTGTGTCAGGCTTCGTTCTTGACACTAGAAATACAGATGAGTCAGATATGGTCCTGACTGTTTTGGAACTTACCTCTCACATCTTTGGCTTCACGCTTTGAGCCCCGTTTGCCTGCTTTCCCATGAGTGCCGATGGTGTTTAAAAAGGCTGGGTAGGGATGAAGTCAGGTCTGGAGTTTCCCATGGTTGTAGGTGTAGAAAGGTGGTATTGAATGCTGGGCTATGACACCTCTTTCCCTTTCCTCAAACAGGTTTCCCTTGCAGCTGGAGAGTGGACAGACTGTGGAATGTACAGTGGCACAGTATTTCAAGCAGAAATACAACCTTCAGCTCAAGTATCCCCACCTGCCCTGCCTGCAGGTTGGCCAGGAACAAAAGCATACCTACCTGCCTCTAGAGGTGAGGCTGCCAAATAATGACTAGGCTGAGGAACAAACATTGTACCTGTACGCTGATCATCAGAGGTCTGTTCTTCCATTTGTAGTCTCATCCTTATTTTGAAGTTTGGAAAATTGATGTTCTGGAGAACATTCTGTGAAACGTAGGCCTCATTCTTACCTATTGAGTTCTTTCCTTATGCCCCGTACTGCTCTCATGTTCTTTCAGGACTGCCAGGCAGAGGTGAAAGCTATATTTACTGTTTAATAAGTAATTAGTTCGTTCTGGACAGAGATTTCAGATACCCACACTCATATTCTCTTAATTTCTCTTTCCCTGTTTGGAGCTGGAGATCCTAAATGACCTAAAGATACAAGTGTACCTTATTTTACAGAAAATGGAGATGAATATTACCTGTAATGTGAATCCTGTTTCCTCAGTGATCAATGTATTCCTTTTGAAAAAGTTTTAGCCCAAGATTTGTCATGTTCTTATGCTTCAGCAGGCCTTTGAAATCCTGCAATTAAAGAAAAAATAGTAATACTCTTTAAGTCATAGAATACAAGTGGAGACCCACTGGGCTCTATTTGGTTTGGTATACACTAGCCAAAATGTATAATGAGAAAACTACCTCTGAATGCTTCGTTGTTTAGTCCGGTGCTGCTCAGAGTGTAGCCAGTGGACCAGCAGCATAGGTATTACCTGGAAGCTTGTTGAAATGCAAAATCTCAGGTTCCACCTAGACCTGCTGAATCAGGATCTTTTAACAGAACCCAAAGAAGATTCATATGAAAAAGTTGGAGAAGCACTTGATTATCATCTTACTGTGTTTTAGCAGCAGGAGTCAGATAGCTGGGACCAAAGTTTAAGCCTTCTGTGAGCTTCTGGGATTTCAGAACTCACCAAAGGAAATTAGACTGAAGGGAGAAGAGATCCCAAAACCCAAGAACTCTGACTCAGTTAATAGCTGTTGATGCACAGAAAGTGGAATGATGATAATATGTTCTTTGAGGTGTAAGCAGAAGTCTTCAGGGGCAATGCCAGCTAAGTAGATAGGGTGTGGGTAATATCTACTGCAAGCTCAGATTTGTTAACAAATTAACATTACTTCTGTTTAAACATAGTTTCCAAGGTAAATAACTTATATAATGACTTGTATTTTTTAAAATTTGGGGTTTTTTTAGTTATTTTTTTTAAATGGAGGTACTATGAATTGAACTCAGTTCCTCATACATGCTAAGCATGCACTCTACCACTGAGCTATACCCACCCCCCAATATAATGACTTATATTTTGATTTTTACTGTTGTTCATTTAACAAATGTTTATTGTGTTCTAGCTATGTGTCATATGCTTTTAGGTGCTGAGAATATAGAGATTAACAAGACAGACAAGGTCCCTGCTGTCTTGGAGCTTACAATCTAGAAGGGGGTGGTAGACATTAAATTGATAAATAAGATAATTTCAGATGGTGGTAAGTGTTATGAGAATAATAAAACAGGTTAAGGGACTAGGCATAGGGTGGAGGGGATGAGAGAGTCACTTTGGCTATTATGGTCAGAGAAGTCTTTTAAGGAGACATTTGAGCTGAGTTCCAAATTATGAGGTAGAACCAACCTTGTAACAACTTGAAGGAAGAGCCTTCTGGGCAAGAGGTAAATAGCAAGTCTAAAGCATCAGGGAGCTTGGATCTTCTTACGGAGAGATAGGAGACGTAGTGGCTGGCATGTAGTGTATGAGGAGAAGAGTAGTAGGAGATGAGTTCAGAGAGAAGTGCAAGGTCAGATCACATAGGCAATTGTAGCCAGGTTTTTTGTTTTTTTTTAAAGAATAGCTTTATTGAGATATAATTCAAATACCATAAAATTTACCCTCTTAAAATGTACAATTCAGTGGGTTTTAGTATATTCACAGAGTTGCACAACCATTACCATTATCTGATTCTAAAACATCTTCATCACCCCTAGAAAAAAGCCCATACCCATTAATAGTCACTTACCATTCCTTCTACCCTTCCACCACCACCTACTAACCACTGATCTACTTCTGTCTCTGTGGATTTGTCTGTTCTGGACATTTTATGTAAATGGAATTATATAGTATATAGCCTTCTTTAAAAAATTAGATTTATTTATTTATTTTTAATGGAAGTACTGGGGATCGAACCCAGGACCTCATGCATGCTAAGCACACACTTTACCACTGAGCTATACCTTGCCCCCAATATGCGATCCTTTTTGACTGTCCTGTATCACTTAGCATAATGACTTCAAGGATATATTGTAGCATATGGCAGAATTTCCTTCCTCTTTAAGGCTGAATAATATTTCAATGTATGTATCTACCACATTTTGTGTATCCATTCACTCTTTGATAGACACTTGGTTGCTTTCACTTCCTAGCTATTCTTAATAATGCTACTGTGAATATAGGTATACAAATATTCGTTCTAGTCCCTGCTTTCACTTATTTTAAGTTTATACCCAGAATGGAATTACTGGATCACATGGTATTTCTGTGTTTAGTTTTTTGAGGAATCACCGTACTGTTTTCCACAGCAGCTGTATCATTTTACATTCCCACCAGCAATGCACAAGGGGTCCAGTTTCTCTACATCCCTGCTTTAGTCTTTTTTCTAGTGTTGAGTCTGTAGTTGAAATCATTTGTAAAGAATGCTACAACTCCAAGGTGCCTTTAAAAGAACAGCCTCACAAATTTTAACAGTTCTGGGTTTTCATTCAGTGAATTGACTAACTTGTGTATTCTTTGAGACACAGAGTTTAAGGTCAGCTGACCTTGTCCTGGTGGTTTTCCCTACCACTGTTCAACATGAACTCTGGAAGTTAGGAAGAGAACTTACAGTGTTGGCCCTATGGGAGCAAGTTTTACATTTCATCTGAATCCTCACAACAGCTTTAGTAGAAAGCTAGTGTTTTTTTCCCATGACTGAAATTAAAGAAGCAGAGTCTTAGAGTGGTTAAAACTCCTGTCCAAGGTAACATCATCTAGAATTGGCAAAGCTGGCCTTCAAACCTAAGTCTTCCAAACCTACTGTCTCTCTCTGCCCTGCCAAAGGCTTTCTGTTCACAGCTTCCTGAATATAGTATATTGGGTAATGAAAGTCTTGTGTATCACTAGAAAGTTTTTCTGATTTCCATTGTGTTCTTTTGGGTGCAATACAGAGGAACCATGTGGCAGGATATTCCTCACAACAACAGAGGACACTGTCAGCCAATAGAGACAGTGATTTCTGTAGTCCAAGGGCTCAGTGATTATCCGTAGACTGAGGCTCAAGAGTTAAGAGCTATTGTTCGTTCTCCTGGTGTGTTGCAGTATGGAGCAACTGACTGCCTGCCACCATTGGAGAGCTGCCTACTGTCTAGGAATCCAGTTTGTGTATATAGAGTTTTTCAGTATTCAGAAGAGCTCTATTTTGGGCCCTTTGGTAAATAATAATTTATGCTACAACTTATTGAGTATTTACTATGTTGCAGAACTGTACTTGGTTCGTTAAGTGCTTTATTTAGTGTCCAAACAGCCCTATGAGATTATTACTGTTCTCATTTAACAATGCATGAAACTTGAGCCTGGATCTGGCTCTGGATCCCAAGTTCTCAATCACAAAGTGGCCATATTGCCCTTTGTATTGCACGTGGATATTTTCTAACTTGTCTGTGCACAGGGATTTTGTAGTCTTCTTCCCAGGACTGACAGCCAAGATCTCTTCCCTTACTGTGGGGCTCTGGGTACAGGGTGGACTGTACTTAAGCCAGAGCTACCTGTTCTTCTCGTTTCCTTAGGTCTGTAACATTGTGGCTGGGCAGCGCTGCATTAAGAAGCTGACCGACAACCAGACTTCGACCATGATAAAGGCTACAGCTAGGTCGGCCCCAGACAGACAGGAGGAGATCAGCCGTCTGGTCAGTGGGGCTGTAGAGAAATGTATGCGTGGTTGCTCAGTCATTGGGGTCCCTGGTAGCATAGATGCTTTTCTGCCTTGGCAGGACCCTTAGGAAAACACAATCCTGGATTTGTTGCCTGGGACTCCATAGGACTGCTGTTGTTTCTTGACCCTGTAGCTACTTTCCTTCCTATCTCTTTTTCCCTCCTGTAATACGTCCCTGTGTTGTCCATTCCCTCTTACTTCATCTTCCACTCGCCCCCCAACCCCACTTTTTAGGACTATTGCTTGCCAGCCTCAGCTACTCTTCAGAGCTTTCTGCTTGGGACCTGGAAGCTGAGCAGTATTTCCAAACTTCGGCTCCCCTGAAATCCCCTTTTTTTGTCTTGCAGATGAAGAATGCTAGCTACAACCTAGATCCCTACATCCAGGAATTTGGGATCAAGGTGAAGGATGACATGACGGAGGTGACAGGGCGAGTGCTGCCGGCGCCCATCTTGCAGTACGGCGGCCGGGTGAGCAGGGTCAGGGCCAGACAACATCTCTGGGGCATGTGGGGGGAGGTTGGGTTATATAGCTAGGAGGAGCTTTTGCTCCCCTGTCCACCTGGCTTTACTGAGGCTCACCTGGGCGCCCCCTCTGCCTATCCCCAGAACCGGGCCATTGCCACACCCAATCAGGGTGTCTGGGACATGCGGGGGAAACAGTTCTACAATGGGATTGAGATCAAAGTCTGGGCCATCGCCTGCTTCGCACCCCAAAAACAGTGTCGAGAAGAGGTGCTCAAGTAAGGAGGATTGGGTGTATGGGTGGAAGGGAATGGGAAGGATCCTAGAGCTGCCTAGCTTCCTCTACTCTCAAGATTTGATCAGTAGCTTGCTCTTTCTGACCCTTGACTCTGCCCCTCTGTGCTATCTGGCTCAAACTTCTGCCTGCTTTTTTTCTGTCCATCTGTGGTCAGGGGTCTTGATAAGGAGCCATATCTGTGTCAGAGAAGATGATTTTAGAGCATGCATCTCCTAGTGGAGACCTGAATTATTTTATGGTTATAATTATTAACAATGGTAGTAAACAGTAGTAGTGATGACTATAATGTTTATGCCAACACTGTACCTAATTTTATGTTCTCTTATTTCATCTTCACAGTGAGTGGGTGGTGTTATTTCCATTTTAAGGAGACTGGGGCTCAAAGAGGTTAAGTAACTGGTACAAGGTTTGCATATCAAGAAAGTGTCAGATTGCGATCAAATCAAATCTGCAGTTTCAAATCTTATATTCTTAATTGGAAATAAAACTTCAGCTGATACTCTTGAGCTATCCTTTCCTGTGCACAGAATTTGTTCATTTGGGTCCAAGTGACCTGAATTAGGTGAACAAGAGTTGTAAGGGCCTCTGAACCAACTGTGGCTGAAGGGCTGGGAGTAGATGACAACAGTGAAGAAAGAACAAAGTGATATAGCCAAATGGTTTAAAGGAACAAGTTAGGGGAGCAATGTTCTTGAGTGACTGAATGAGTAAGTGAGGAAGTCACTGCAGTTTTTTTTTTTAGCAATTTTATTGAGGTATATTTCAAATACCACAAAATTTACCTATTTAAAATGTATAGTTCAGTATTCTTGCAGTCTTCTGAAGTGGTGGCTCCTTCCCTCTGGATCTGTAGTAAGGTCAGTGCTCCCTGGGGCTGAGGAAGTTGGTAGAGCTGACCACTTTGGGCAGTAGCGAGGGTAAAACAGATGTGTGCCCTGGTGGGTTCAGCTGGCCTTGGGGTTTTCGTAAGAATTAGTTACAGCAGCATCTGATGAATGTGGGGACTCTGGTACCCCCTCTCCCCTCACAGATACACAACTATCACAGTTAGAGTTTCTCTTAAATGAGATTTTAGCCCTATTTAGGTCAGGCTGCCCTTAGCCTTGGCCAAGCTTTGGAGGGCTGGCCCTTAGCGATATTAGAAAGGCTCCCAGCTCTGTGCCTTTTTGTCACCTTGTTGGTAGCTCAATTCTCAGCGTGCTTCTCTCTCATTCCCACGTCCTTCCCCTATCCAGTTCTTTTGAGAAGCAGTTCATTGTTTTGGATATTTCTGGGTACAGAAATTGATAAACCTAGAATCTCAGTGTTGGAAGGAGTCAGTTCATCAGACAAGCCCTTCTTGTAATGGTCCCTGGAAGCAGGAGATAAAAATGTGACTTGTATACTTGGGTCAATGATACCCAGTTGGATGGATGTATGGTTCTGGGCTAAAGATTAAGATTTGAAAGTTTTTAGCTATGGCAATGGATGAGATTGTCCAGGGAGAAGGCGCAGTGAAAATAGAACTTAGAGAAATGAGAAAGGAAGTGGAGATAGTTCCTACATGTATATGAGGGAATGGGATCCAGAGCATAGGAGAAGTCATCCTTTCCATTGAGACAGAAGGGGAAGAGATGAAGGTGGAAGTGGAGAAATTGGTAATTGGGGATGAATAAAGGGTCAACCCTGAGAATTTTTATTTTGGCTAATCAGGCCCTGTTATCTCAGCTATGTCACTTTTAGGACAGGATTTTAAGACCTTCCCCATCCTAGACTTCTTTCAACACTTTGTAGCCCCCAGCACTAGACATAATATTCCAAGTGTGACCTGGTAATAGAAGATTGGAAATAACACTTTATTTGAAGTAGAGACCCACTTATTAATGGAATCTAGTAACATGTTGGCTTTTTTAGTAGCCATGTTGCAGTTGTATACAAAGCAGAGAAATGGAGGAAACACTGTAGTCCATCAGAGCCCTGGCTCTTATTCATGTGAAATAATAGATTGTATTTTTTATTCTAGCTTTTATTTTGATTTTTTTTAATTTTGAAAAGAATAATGTGGTAAACACCTATGTATCCATCATCCAGAGTATTGTCATATTTATTTTATCCTTTTTAAAAAAGTAAATAAAATGTTACAGGTGAATTTAAGATTCCTTTATATCCTCCATCCTAGTTCCATTCCTCCCTTCTGATGCAGTCACTGTCATGAATTACTATAACCTTCCTATCCAATTTATGTGTTTTATATGCCTATATGTACATAAGTGATTTAAAATTTCACACAACAGTATTGTATTTATCTTGTGTTTTTTCACTGAATAAGTGAGAAAACTTATTTTCTCACTGCATAGGCTTTTGAATCTATCATATTGGTATTTATATGCTGTGTAATAACATCCACTAAGCAATTGCTTTTATTCTTTATTTATACATTGTTGCTTTTAATCTAAATGCAGGATTTTCACAAATTAAATTTCCTGCTGCTCCTTTGAGTCTGTCATTATATTTATGTAGCTTGATTTTTTTTTTAATCTACTGTATGTGTACTAGTTTTCCAACTTTGTCTTCCTTTCATAGGGTAAAGCTCTAAAGCGAAAAGAAGACGCTTGTTTAATAATTTGTTCTCAGGCTTCAAAGAACCAATGGGAGAGGAGGGAGCTCACTTTTACTGAGTATCTCCTGTGCTCTAATCACTGTTGGAACCTTATTTATTTTAATTTGAGCAAAGAGGCCTTCCATTTGGGCACCTTCCTATTGCTGTGCACTTAGAGCATAGGAACCAGCTGCTTGAGTGGGACAAGGTGGAGGACTTTGAGAATTCCTGCAGGTCCCTTTTCTGGGCTCCCTCAGCTCTCTGCTTGTACCGTTGAACACTTAGCAAGCTCTCTATTGTCTTACTCAACTATAAATATGTTTTTTACATTAGATGTGATGATGTCTCATTATCTTAGAATGTGTCATAGTGCTAGATGCCTAGCACTATGGAGACTTTTGGTCAGAGATATTAAAATGGGACTTACTGCCCCCTGTTATGACCATGCTTGTGCTACAGGAACTTCACCGACCAGCTGCGGAAGATTTCCAAGGATGCAGGAATGCCTATCCAGGGCCAACCTTGCTTCTGCAAATACGCGCAGGGGGCAGACAGCGTGGAGCCCATGTTCCGGCATCTCAAGAACACCTACTCAGGGCTGCAGCTCATTATCGTCATCCTGCCAGGGAAGACGCCAGTGTATGGTACAGTTCTCTTGGGATAGTGATTACAATGATAAGTCTCTTCTTAGGGTAGCTCCCTGGAAGCTCCTAGGGATGACTCAATATGGATTCTTGGCTCTAGCCAGGGCTATTCTTTAATGTCAGTGTTCTTCTTGTAGGAGAAATATCAGCTTATATGAGCCATTTAGTCATTCCAGGTCCTGCTTACCTGCTCACACTCCCTCCCAGTAACATTTACTGGGATCTTCTGTGTGCTGGTCTTTATGCCAGGCTAAGCTTGGCCAGTTACAGAGATGGGTCAGTTCAGACTCCCATCCGTAGGAGTGCATTGTCCGTCAAGACAGAGTGCAGCACACTCAAGCAGAATTTATAGTGGTTCTGTTGGTGTTCCATTCCCTGAGAATGACTTGGACTTTTTCAAAAGTTTTCCCTGTCTTTTCCTTTCTTTTAGGAATGAGAATGACTATGTACATCTCTGACTCACTGCTTTTTTCTTAGTCTTTTCTCCCTCTCCATCTCTCCTGCTTCAAAGGAAGAGGTGTCCTTCCTCTTACCTTACTCACCCATGTGTGCTCTTGTTTCTGTTCCATCCTGCTACCTTTGGGACGTCGTACCCTTTAACCCTCAAACATCTTCAGATTCCCCGTCCTAGAGCACATGGCCACAATCATGCCATCTCCTTTAGCTTTTGTCTTCCTATCTTCTTGTTTTTCTTCATCAAACTTTTTGAATGCGTTCTTTACATTTTCTAACCCCACTTCCTCACCAGTCACATAGCCTTTTTCATCTATCTTAGCTCTGCCATTCTCCTAAACCTCTGCAGAGGGTCACCAGTGACCTTTCTCAGTTCTCCTCTTTTTGACATTTTCCCCTGTCTCTCCTTAATTGTTTTTGTCATTACCAGAAATGCTTGGTATTTTCCATATTTCTGTACTCTGCCCTCTCTGTGTTTTTATTCTAGTGAAATTCTCATCTATTTGTTGTTTCAGTCATCAACTATTGTTATTATATGTAATAATGTATTATTAAAATCTTGATTCACCCCTTGACCTCTCTGCAGCTCCCATCCGTCCCTTTGACCTAACTTTACAAGAGTTTATTGATCATTTATTATGTGTGAAAAAAAACACTGCTAGATCTTTGGTGAATAAAGTATATGTGGTCTCTGCTATTGTAAAGTGTTTTGGTGAACCATCTCTTTAGTAGTTTGTCTTCTCTGTCTACCAATAAGCCCTTCTCTTTACTTCTGTCTTCAGTATTTGGCATCACAGTTGTTTCTGGGTACCTCCATCCAGACTTTAGAGGTGGTCTGTCTTCTCTTTGCTTTACTACTAATGCTGTTTAAAAAAAAAAAACAATATTAAGATGATTCCCTGCTTTCCACGCACTCTTCTCAACTTAGTTCTGTCTTTTTTTTTTTTAATTTTTTTTTTTTTGGTTGGGGGATGTAATTAGGTTTATTTATTATTTACTTATTCTTAGAGGAGGCCCTGGGGATTGAACCCAGGGCCTCATGCATGCTAAACATGTGCTCTGCCACTTGAGCTATACCCTCCCCCCTTAAATCTTTCTTGAATAGGTTACTGGATGAGACTTTGTGATTATACTCCCCCCAAAACCTTCATTGATCCACATTCACAAAAATAAAAGTTTTTTAGGGTCCTGATCTTAGTTTAACCTTTTCAACTCTATCTTCTACTGTTCCCTTTGCCACACATACAGGAAAGATCATTTGTTCTGGAGTTAGGTAGAACTGGATTTTAATCCTGGCTATGCCAGTTTACTGGCTTAGGCAGATTACCAAACCTTTCTGAACCTCATAATTAATTACATAAAAAGCAGCATCTAACACAGTGCCTGTGATGTAGTAGATACCCGAAATGATGCTCATTCTTTGTCTATGCTTTCCAGACTCTGGTTTTGCTAATATCATTTGCCTTTGCCTAGAATACCTAATTCTAATCTAATATTCTAATCCTCTACCTTGCCCTTAAAATTCTCTCCATCTTTCAAGTCCTAATTTAAATGTGCTTATTCCTGGAAGCTTTCTTTTGTCATCTCACCTAGTAGATGAACTTGCCTCTTTCTGGATTCCTCTAGAAATCTTATCAGGCTGCTGATCAGTTATTACCTAGCTTGATATTGTTTTGAGCATGGAGTAGATCTGATTCTGCTCTGAAACCTTCTTCCTTCTTCACATATATACCCAAGGTAGGGCCTTTCACTGACGTGATACTCAGTACTTATGGAGGCAAGTTGTTTGACCTCCAATACATGTCTCTCTTAAGCTTTAAATTGAGGGCCCTTTTAAGGTTGAGAAAACAAGGATGCTTTTTAGGAGAACTGCCTTGAATAATTATCCATGTTTCTGGTTCCCTTCATAAAGGGAGAATATAGTGTTTTGGCTTGCCTGGGGAGTATAGCACAGCATGCTTGTGGAAGGCAGTGCTTACTCAGAGAATTTTCCCTTCCCTGAGCTCAGTCATGTTACACCTCTCTCTAGTCTCATACCTTGATTAGGACCTTGGGTTTCTTCCACTTACATGCTATTCCTTGGATAATGAGGCCATCTGCCTAGAATTAAGTCTGCAGATAAGAGAAGTAGTCAAATTCTTCTAAAAAATCCTTCACCTTCCTTCCTGGGGGCCAAATGATGGTCAAAGCGAGGTCCACTGTGGTAGCCCTGAGACTGCAGAAGAGCAGTGTCACATTTGCCCAGTTCTAATGTGGTACCATACTTCTTTCTGTCCTTTGTATTTTTAACTCCTTCATCTCCACTAAATTGATACTATCATCTTTTTTAATATAAATTTTTTGTTGAAGTGTGATGTATATATAGAGATCTTATGTGTTCAGTTCAGTGAATTCTCACAAAGTGTCACAGCAGGGTAACTACTACCTAGTTCTGATAGTAAAACATTAACACAACCCCAGGATACCAATCACTACAATTCTCCGTCACTGGCAACCACTATTATTCTGGCTTCTAACACCATAAATTAGTTTTGACTGTCTGAACTTGATATAAATGAAATCATATGTTATGTACTTTTTTTTTAATATCTGGCTTCTTTCACTAAACATTATGTTTGTGAGATTTATCCATGTTTACTTAGTTTTAGTTTATACCTGTCCTTTGAACATATATGTCCATTTCTATTGGATATCTATCTAGGAGAGGTTTTTAAGTGTACGAATGTATACTTCCACCAGCATACCAGAGATCTGGATACTCCACATCCTTACCAAACTTGGTACTGTTCCCTTTCATTTTAGCCATTCTTATGTATGTTTAGTGACTTGTTGTGCTTTTGATTTCTCTGATGATTGGTAAAGTTGAGTCTCTTTTTATTCTTCTGTTGTCTGTTTCACTAGCCTCTTTTGAAAAGTGCCTGCTCAGGTCTTCTCCTTTTTTTGTTGGCTTCAGTATCTTTTTCTTATTGATTTATAGATGTTCTTTATAATTCCTTTCTTATTTAATATTAGGTTTATAATATAATATCATATATATGTGATATATATGATATAATGTATATAACATATAATAAAATGTATTATAATATTTAATATTAAATTTTATTTAATATTAGTGTATTAGACATGTCCTCTTTGCTCCTGGCTTGCCTTTTTATTTTTGTAATAGGTTCTTTTGTTGAACAGAAATTTTAAATTTTAATTTAGTCCAATTTATCAATATTCTTCCCTTGTGGCTAGTACTTTCTGAGGCCTGTTTAAGAAACCCCAAGGTCATGAAGGTACTAGTCTGTGGGGGTTTTTTTATTTTTATTTTTTAACCTTTCACATTTAGAACTAGTCCGTCTCTGCCAGAAATTCTGTTGCTTTCTCTGTCCCCTGGCAGTGGTTCTTCTGTTAGTGCAAAGCCTGGAATCTCAGCCTCTTGCCCACACCTAGAGTCAGCAAATGTACCCAGGGTAAAAGCAGCTGCAGAAGGTGGCTCACCTCTGTGAGATTTTTCTCCCTCTCTGGAGTGTTAGCTCTTCCAGTTCTTGTTGTCTTGGCACCTCTCTGCTGTCTTCAAAAAGATGTTTATATTTTATCTGGCTTTTCTGAATGTTCTCTTTAGAGACACTGGTTTGCCACTATCTCTTGGATATGGAAATGATCCCTTTAACTTTTTAAACATGTTCAAGCCTTGTCCATTAAAAACATATCAAACCCTTCATTGATCCTGTATCTCCTCCTTGGTACTTTATAGCACCAAAATAGTTTTTACCTCTATACATTAAATTTTGCCTTACTGTCACTAAATCCAAAAGACATTTCTGATCTTCATTTTTCCTATCTCAGCAGCATTTGAGTTGGTTGAACACTTGCTCCTTTTTGAAACACTCTCTTTCTTCCCTTGGCATTTGTGATAAAACACTGTCTTGATCTTCCTCTGAGTTCTTTGAATTTTTGTCCTTTGCAGACTCATCTTCCTGTTCTGCAATTATTGTGAGTTCTTCAAGATCCAAATCTAAGCCCTCTTTTTCTTTCACTCTGTTCTCTTCCTTGATGATATCAAAGATCATGTCTTCAGTTACTACCTGTACCTACATATCTCATAAATTTGTATCTCTATTTTACACTGCTCTTGAACTTCCAACTACTGTACTCAGTTGCCTTGTTGATATCCTCACTGGGTTGACCAAAACGCTTCAAACTCAAGATGTCTCAAAAAGAACTTATGATCTATCTATTCAGTTACAAAAGCTAGAAACTCATAAGTTATCCATAAAAATTATTTTCCCTTACTCCCGTGTATAGTCTCCAAGTCTCTTAAATATCTCTTGAATCTATTTCTTTCCATCTTAAAAACTATCTTCTTAGTATAAGTTACCCTCCTTTCTTCCCTAGATCAATCTAATGACCACATTCTTTCTCTCACACCATGGTTCATTTACTCTCCTGTGTAGTTACTCTGGTCTTTCAGTTTCTCAAACATATGTTGCTGTCTCCTATCAGAGTGTGTTTTTGCATGCTGTTCCCTCTGCCTGGAATGCTGTCTCCCATACTCCCCCATAGTCCCCTTCCCTTCTAAGTTCTTTTCTACCTTCAGATTTCAATTTAGTCAGTACTTACTCAAGAATCCTTTCCTGACTAGGTTATTACCCCATATTATATACTCTTAAAGCACCATGAGGTTTTCTCTTGTAGCATTTATCATTGTTGTACTCTTCATGATTTTTAAAATTAGTCACTAGATAGTAAGCACTAGAAAAGTAGTGACCCTTTGTGTTTCTGGTGACCATGTGTTTCCTAGCACCGTGTATACTTCTGGCATCTAGTAGGCATTCAGTAAATATTTGTTGAATGCACTAATCAGTTCTCTCCCTGCTCATAGCTGAAGTGAAACGTGTTGGAGATACACTGTTGGGAATGGCTACACAGTGTGTGCAAGTGAAGAATGTGGTCAAGACCTCACCTCAGACTCTGTCCAACCTCTGCCTGAAGATCAATGTCAAACTTGGTGGCATTAACAACATCCTAGTCCCACACCAGCGGTATGAACTCTATTGCCCACTTGCCCTTGTCAAACAAGGTACTATACTGGGGATTGATGAAAAGAGAGGACCCTGTCTGGGCAGAGTGAATCAGACACAAGGGAGAGAAAACCAAAGTGGGTGCTGGATGGTGCCAGGAAGAGAAGACCCAACTCCTCACCATTTGTTTTCTGTCCCTTGCTTAGCTCTGCCGTCTTTCAACAGCCAGTGATATTCCTGGGAGCGGATGTTACACACCCCCCGGCAGGGGATGGGAAAAAGCCTTCGATCACAGCAGTGAGTGATACTCTCTAACTTCCTTATAAAGTTCTCTTAGCTCTGAGTTCCTAACATTACACATGATTTCCTTCCTTCAGCTTTGATGCTTGACCCTTCATGAGATCTTTTTATTTCAGCTGATCATCCCCATTAACCACTCCCTTGGTATCTTAATAAAACTAATTCTGTATGGTGTCGTCTTTTCAGAGACAGCTGTGAGGGTGTAGGTTTTGGCTAGAGACTTGGCCTCGTCTCCATCAATTCTGCTTTGTGTTCCAGTTTCCCTCTCTCTGTGTCCACTTTTGGGATATGAGAACGACTATATCCTTCTTCAAAATCCCTCTTAAGGGAGTTACTTAGTTGCTAGGATTGTCCTTTACTCGTCCCCATTCCTACCCCTAATCCACCTAGTAGATTAAATATCTCTCCAGTCCGTCTCCTGATTTCTCTGTTCCCCTGTCTCATAGGGGCTTCTGAATTACTAAAGGGACCAGGCCTCTTTTTCCACTTCTCTTTCCTCAACCCTCACATTTCTCTAAGCAGACTGGGCTTATTTCAGTGAATGCAGGGGGACCCTATACTATCCTTATCTCTATTTTCCTTGTGGCCATCCATCCTAGGCTCTGGCCACCGTCCCCTTAGGAAATGATGTTATTCTCACCACTCACAGGAACACTTCTCACTATGGTTCCTGGGGTTAGCAGTTGAATTGAAAAAAAAAACCAAACAGAGTTATATTTGTATGAAGTCACTCTTTGAGCTAGTAGTGCCAGATCGTCACATACCCCTCTACAAGGGACAGGAAATCAAACTTATCAAGTATGTACTGTGGGTTAGGCCCTGTGCACCATGCCTTATTTGTGCCGCAACAGCACTGCAAGCAGGTAGTATTACTGTCTCCATTTGAGAAGAGGAACAAGATCAGACGGATTACATAACTTACACATGTGTGATAGAACAAAGATTGAAACCAGGGCTCTTTGAATCCAGAAACTTACTCATTTGATTGCATAGTTTTCTTGCTAAGATGCCTTTCCCAAACCCACAGCCTAACAGTGTTGGGAGGGTGGAGGTTCTGGGAGCTGAACCTGCCTCTTTGATTATCAGGTGGTAGGCAGTATGGATGCCCATCCCAGCCGTTACTGTGCTACTGTGCGAGTGCAGCGACCACGGCAGGAGATCATTGAAGACTTATCCTACATGGTACGTGAGCTGCTTATCCAGTTCTACAAGTCCACCCGCTTCAAGCCTACCCGCATCATTTTCTACCGAGATGGTGTTCCTGAAGGCCAGCTCCCCCAGGTAGGGCTCACAGTAGGTTAGAAAACCTTTACATTGAGGCAGTGGGGCCTAATGGTAGCAGAGGATACTGCTGCCTTTTCTAAGCTAAGTTGTATCACAGAGATACAACTGAGAGGTGGTGTGTACAATCACCAACAGACCATTCTTACAATAGAAGACCCTCAGTACCTAGTTAATAGTTGGTTCATGTTGAAGAGTGATTCTTTAGACCAGTGGTTCTCAAACTTTAGCATCCATCAGAATTTTCTGGAGGGCTTTTTAAAATAGCCTGCAGGGCCCTACCCTTAGAATTTCTGATTCAGTGAGTCTAGAATGGGGCCCTAGAATTTGTAGTTCTGACAAGTTCTTAGGTGATGCTGCTGGTCTGGAGGCCACACTTTGAGAACCACTGCTGTTGATCTTACTTTTTACAAGGTTCCTGCTATTCTTCCTCCCTGTTCAGCCTTCATATTCTGTTGTTTAGACTAGTGTACTGAACTGAACTCTTTGAGTACCGTTTAATAAACAGTACTGTAACTACCATTTACTGGGTACCTCGTTTGTGCATGAGCTGTACTAAGCACTTTGCATGTGTTCTTTTTAATACTTACAGTAGCCTTATGAAATAATAATTATTATTATTCCATTTGATGCATGAAGAAACTGAAGCTTGAAAATGTTAAATGATTTCTTCAGTGTCACCCAAGCTAGTACTAAGTGGTAGAAATGGGATTCAGACAAATTGGTCTGATTCCAAGATTTATGCTCTTAACCATTATGCTCAATTTTCTCCAAGTCATCCAGTGTTTCCTAAAATACCAGGTAAATTTATCATATCACTTCACTGTTCAGAAATGTCTAGTGGCTTCACATGGCCTGGGGTTAAAATTCAAGCTGTTCAGCAAAGCAATCAGCAGTTATTAAGCCCCTACTAGGATTTTTATGCTTTTACTTATTTGTTTTAGTCTTCACAGCAGCTTTGTGAGGCTGATCTTATTAGTAACTTTAGTAAGTGTGGAGAAAATGAGACTTAAAGAGGTTAAGTAACTTGCTCAAGGTAGTATACTCCATAAAGCCTGGATTTAAACCTAGTTCTAATTGATTCCAAATTCTGTTTACTCCTGCCATACAGTTTTGACTCCCTATATCTGACATCCAAGGCCACAAGGCAACTACTGCCTATGGCTTTTCACTTGTGGCTTTTTGCGGTTTTTCACCTGTGCTTTTTTTTTTTAACTGCTTTTTTTGTAGTACTGAATTTATCTATTCCCTCTATACCCATTCCTGAACTATGTGTCTACTCTACTGTGGTGGTCCTAAACCTGCGTGTTCTTAGAACTCATAGGGAACTCTCGTTTTCCTCTTGATCCTGAAATTGCCCTTTGGGCATTGTGACTTCTCTGTGAATCTTAGTTCTGCGTCTTGATGTTAGGTCTCATTATGCAGAGGAACCAGGTGAGTTCTCTTTGCTGATGCTAAGCCTCTAAGCCAAGGCTTTATAGGAAAATATCAGGTGAACCGAGTACAGGTATACCTGTTTTTATTGTACTTCACTTTACTGTGATTCGCAAATACTGAATTTTTTACAAATTGAAGGTTTGTGACAACCCTGCATCAAGCAAGTTTATCAGTACCATTTTTTCAACAGCAGTTGCTCACTTCACGTCTCTTTGTCACATTTTGGTAGTTCTCGCAATATTTCAAACTTCTATTATTACTATATTTATTATGGTGATCAGTGATCTTTGATATTATTACTATGACTCAATGAAGGCTCACATGGTGGTTAGCATTTTTTAGCCATAAAGTATTTTTAAATTAAGGTATGTACATTGTTGTTTAGACATAATGCTGTTGCACACTTTAAATAAACTATAATATATTGTAAACATAGCTTTTGTATGCACTGGGAAACCAAAAAAATTCATGTGACTTACTTTATTGTAGTGGTCTGGAACTGAGCCCACAGTATCTCCAAGCTATGTCTATATAAGGCTGATTTGGGCAGGAAGGGGTCTTATCGTCTCTAATGGTTGGTATCAGCTTATTAAGGGAGACTGAACAAAAAGCCTTATTACAAGTGGCAAACCCTTAGTTCAGAAAGTTGTGTGAACTCAAGAGGAGCTGTATGTCTCTTTGCCTCACCCTGTGCCTAGATCCTCCACTATGAGCTGCTGGCCATTCGTGATGCCTGCATCAAACTGGAAAAGGACTACCAGCCTGGGATCACTTATATTGTGGTTCAGAAACGCCATCACACCCGCCTTTTTTGTGCTGACAAGAATGAGCGAGTGAGTGAGGGATTGAGGAAGCCACCTATACCCCTCATCTTGTCTCCCTTCTCTCAATATGGAAGAAACTGTTGAAATAAAATCTGGGAAATTAGTCCTTTGCCTGTCCATCCTCCCTGGCCCCTTTCTTCCCCCAGCTCTTGTGGCCTTTCCTCTACCACTGCCTTCCTTTTGTTTCCTCCTTCTCCCCTCCTTCCCTTATACTTCATCTCCCTCCTCCTAGCTCCCTGGCCTATAGACCCTATATATAGACCAGCTCCCAGAGAAGGGAAAGGGAACTACCATTTATTGAACTTCTTCTATGTGCCAGACACTGTACAAGGCGTCTTCCTCACAGCAGCCCTGTGAGGTAGGTACTGTTATTATCTCCAGTTTAACCTCAGAAAGGTTAAATGACTTGATAAAGTCACACAGCTAGTAAATGGTGAAAGCAGCACTTAAACACAGGTCTGTGTGACTTTAGAAGCCCATTATTTCAAGATGTAGTACCCTCTGGGAACAGCAACTTCCACTTTACTCTTGGGGTTCTGGTGGAATCAGATTAGAATTGAGTTGGGGCCCTACTTAGGGCCAGGCAGGTCTTGGGATCTTGGTTGTCTTTGTCTCTATACAGATTGGGAAGAGTGGTAACATCCCAGCTGGGACCACTGTGGACACCAACATCACCCACCCATTTGAGTTTGACTTCTATCTGTGCAGCCACGCAGGCATCCAGGTAGCTGGGCTATGTCCTCGGGTTTCTGGTGGGTCAAAGATTAGTTGATCATCCCCACAACCTCTAGAATGTATCAGTCATTACTGAGTGGCATTCAGATCAGGATTATTCTCTCACTAAAACCTTGGTGCACTTGAACAGAAGTGCAATTTGAATGTCTTAGGCAGGTTTGCCATAAAATGAGTGCTTTATGACATAGGTAACTGTGTCTGCCTGGTTCATGGGTGGGTCTTCCAACACAGCTGTGCACTTCACAATGATCCTGTTCCTTATCATCATCCATCCCCTCTGCCCAACATGGGGCCACTCACCTTCCTATCTTCCCAGGGCACCAGCCGACCATCCCATTACTATGTCCTTTGGGATGACAACCGTTTCACAGCGGATGAGCTCCAGATCTTGACGTACCAGCTGTGCCACACTTACGTGCGATGCACACGCTCCGTCTCAATCCCAGCACCTGCCTACTATGCTCGCTTGGTGGCTTTCCGGGCACGATACCACCTAGTGGACAAGGAGCATGACAGGTGAGGCCTGGGATCAGGCTTCCTTTTTGCTTCAGCCTCTGGTACCAGACAGACCCTCTCAACTTTCCCTAGGTAGGAGGAAATGAGTGTTGTCCAATTTGGTGTCCTTGGGCTCGTCTGCCCAAGTCTGGGTTGGGGTTTTCTCTTAAGTTAATATGGGAATTGGCACTGTAGGGGTTGGGGGAGGGATTAGTAGCAGCTCAATTCACTAGGAAGGACTTATTTCATCTTTCCTTTTCAGTGGAGAAGGGAGCCACATATCGGGGCAGAGCAATGGGCGGGATCCCCAGGCCCTGGCCAAAGCCGTGCAGGTTCACCAGGATACTCTGCGCACCATGTACTTCGCTTGAAGGCAGAACGCTGTTACCTCACTGGATAGAAGAAAGCTTTCCAAGCCCCAAGAGCTGTGCTGCCCAAATCCAGAGGAAGCAGGGAGGAGGGAGGTGGGGTAGGAAGAAATGCAGAAGGCCTTGTTTCCTTCTACAGAGTGGATGAAAGAGTGGGGAACAGGGCCAGTAAGCCAGACCACCAGCCAGAAATCTCTGATATTCACCTCATGTCCTCCACCCCTCACCCCATCTTGTCACATCTGGCCCTGACCCCACTGGACCAAGACGGGCAGCATCGGTGCCCACCATACACACAGGTGTCTCATGTGACTCACAGTGCTAAAGACTCATGCCTGACAGCTTGGTAAGGTCGGCTCTGCAGCCCTGCGGACAAAAGCTGGTAGGTTTGGGTTTGATACTTTAGATGGGAAAGTGAGGGGCTTGAGAAAGTGGGTGGGAGGAGGGAAGAATATTTTAGGAGCCTTAATCAGAAAAGGTCTAGATTTGTTTAAGAAGAAAAACGAAACCAGACCCAGATCAATATTTTAGGATACTAGATGTTTTAATTGGTTGATAATCCAGTTTGTAGGAAGATTTTTAATGCTAATGGTTTTGGTTGCTCCTCCCCCAGCTGTCACTCCCCTTTCCCTATTCCTCTCTTTCCACCTTTTCTACCCCGCCTTACACCTCCTCCCTGTCAGACAACCAGCCCCTAGTAAGACTTAAGGCACTATGGCACTTAGCTCCGAAGTGACATGACCCTGTCTTCCTTCCGCCTGCTGGTGGGTAACCAGTGCCTTCCCTGTAACGGTAATGCTGCAGAACTGCAACCTTTTGTACCTTTTGGGTGGGGGACGGGGAGGGGTGGGAGAGGAGGTAGGTGGGGATGAAATACCCCTAACCCAACAAGCCTCCAGCCAGAGCGCCAGCTATTTTGCATTTGAAGGAATTGACTTCCATATTCATTGAGCTTTTTAAAAGATCATGACCTCAAGATGGTTAAAATCCATTGACATTTGCACTTTCAGACCTGACAAGTCTCAGAGCTGCTGAGATGACTGGCCCCTGGCCTTTCCACTTATGTCTCCTTTCTTCCTGTCTCCCATTCCTGGGTCTGGAGTTACTTTCATAGCATTTCTCACTCTTGGTTTCTTTTTTTCCCTGATGGTCAAGTCTCTTTACGTTTCAATATTTCTTAACTGGGGTGTCTTATAACAAACGATCCTTAGGTCTAAAATAAGAAAAAAGCAAAAACTAAATGTTATTTTTATACCATAACTTGAGTCTATTGCCAAAATCTGGAAATCCCTCCCATGCCCAATGAGTTTACATCCCAGAAACATTGAGCCATCAGAAGGAACTATATACCTGACTTGTTCTTTGGCCTGGCTAGTTAGGGGGTGGTTATCTCCCCAGGGTGGGGCTCAGGCTCCACCCTTCCTCTGTGCAGATAATATCTTTTTCTTGCTACAGGCTCCCTCTTCTGCACTGCCCTGCACTCTTTCCTGCAAATGCATCTTCCCTTCCTCTGGACTGTTTTCTGACACTTTGGCTCATCCCAGATTTCAGCGTGTCCTGTGGATAGGCTGGGGATTTTGCTGCTCCCTATTGCTTCTGTTTACACAAATGAATTTTTCCTGGTTTCCCACTAGGGCATGTGAGTGGGTAGCATGGGCTTTTTTTTTTTTTTTTTTTTTTCCATCTCCCTGGGTAGAGATGGGGTTTGGCTGTCTTGCAGAACTGGAAAAGTAGGGGGTTCTAGCTTGGTGCCTGTGACCTTGAAGCAAGGCTCCCTCTTTCCTTGACTGTTCATTTTTTTCCTGTCCCACTGTTTGGGATGCGGAGTTCAGCTTCAGTGTGGAAATTCCTCTTTTTGAGGAACCTGGGCTTGGATTTGCCCTAATCTGGTGATGAAGCCATGACACTTTAGACCTAGCTTGTGCTCAGAGGCCAGCCAGAGGAAGGTCGGTCTGAATACGGGCCTGTGCAGTTAGAGCTACCATTTCCCCTCCCCAGCAGCCCTTGTACAGACCCAGATTTGCTATGCAAAACAGTCTATCCCAGGTTCTTTTCTGGTTGGCTACTTCATTCAGCAACTTCACAAAACGTAGCACAAACATTGATTATGGAGAAGGCATCAGGACTGTTGAGTAACTCCTCCTTTACTTCTTTTGTACTGGTATGGGATGCCCCATGGGCACAGCCCAGCTGAAGAACAGAATGGAGGGCTCTGGGAGGAGGCAGCTCACTGGAGAGCCTACATTCCTTACACAAGTGCCTAAAGAGAGTGATGCCAACACTCCATCTGCCCTGTCCATCGCCTTCATACACTGTCTACTTCGTGTTCAGTCACCCTTTGGGGAGGGGAGCTCTCTTGGGACAGTGGGCTCTGCATGTTCTCTTCTTGGGTGTGTTTTGGGGCTGGGATCAGGGCAGCATTCCTGGAGGATCCAGTCATTCACCAGCATTTGCAAATATCCATTGGGAGCTGGTGGTAGCCACCTACTCTCAGCAACGAGTTTGTGTTCTCTCTTTTTTCTCTCTTTGCCTCACTCTCTCCAGTTGGGTTTTGAACTGGGGCTTGAAATGTGTATTTTAGCCCTTTGGCATTGTATATGCCATTTAGGAAATAAAAGCAAGAAAAACAGCTTGGGCAATGGCAAGAAAATGACTTCTTGCTGTGATTTTCTTTCTTTTCTTTTCTTCTTTTTTTTAATCTTTGAAACTTGAAAAATGACCTTGAGGATTATTCTTGTTTGAAAGGTGGTGCATGCAGATTGAGCAGTGGTGTTGGCAGCAAGCTTTGGCTTTCTGGGATTTGGTTAAAGTGGTGCTTCTTACTTAAGCTTTGAGGAATTGCTGGGGGGACCCCAGCCTCATCCTCTTAAACAGGTCTCTTCTCCCTTTCTTTCACTTTTTTGCCTTCCTTTTCCCCTTCTCTCTTCCTCTGATCTCTTTTAATTTTTTATTTTATTTATTTTTTGTTGTTGTTCACTCAGCTTGCTGGCTGGCCTGTCTGCCTATGTGATAATGAATTCTCTGCATGGCTACAATGATCCCACCGTTAGCTGGCAAGGTCAGGCTTAGCTCCTTGGCTGTAGGAGACCAAGAATCTGTTTCCCAGGCCCAGTGATGTCCACCCTGGGCTGTACTGCCCTCCAACTTACATGAGGGCATTAGCAGAAGGCCTGTCCAACTAGCATGATACCAGGAGGGCTTCTGGCAACTTCCACACTTGTCCACTCTTTGGAGTTGGTTTCTCTCATTGCTTTTTCTAGATCTGGTTTCATTTCTCTCTTCTTGGGGCCTCCCTTTTCTGAGGATGTCCTAGAGTTGAGCTACTTGGTCATCCGGAGTTGGAGGGTTAGGAGATGGACATAGGGGAAGAAGAGAGTGATAGGAAGAAAATGGAGAGAGTGTGGCTTAAATGTGGGAAAGGAGGGCATTGATCTTATTGATCACTTTTCCAGTCTAGCCTGACTCATTGGGGGTTGAGGTGCTACTGCTAGCCACTGGGGATAATCCTGGGGCTGTTGTTCCTGCGAACTTAGGCTTAGAATAATGCTGAAGAAGAAGGTACCTAAAAGTATGACACCTCCCTTAAAAGTTCCGGTTCTTTCCTATTCAGTAGATCCTCTCTGGCCTCCTCTTTGGCTAAGCAATGATGTTGTTGGATAGTTTTCTTTTTCTTGTCCAGAATTCTGTAAATGAGGCTAGCAAGATGGACAGCCACGGAGACACTTTGACTTCTTAGCTGGCCCAGGGGATATCTGCAAGGCTGACTGGACAATGTTTTTAGACTTGGCATCATGTGTAATAAAGAAGGATGAAAGTTCCTTCCCCTTCAGGGTAGAAAGTCATCTCAAACTAACTAAAATGTTGTTTTGGAAACTACATTGGGGAAGTTATTTTTATTTATATTTACTGGGCCTAGGCCAATCCAGGATGGTAGCTGGGATGCCTTCCTTCTTAAAGTCTGATCATGGCAGGGTTTTGCAGGGCACTGTTTCCTCTTTGGCCTTCTAAGCAGACTGGGGAGAAGGGATTCTCTGGTTTTCTCTCCCTCCCTCCCCCCACCATTTATTAGGACTTACCTTCTCCCTGGGCAGGGAGAGAGGCTAGGTTGGTGCTCTCCCCTTACTCTACTCCTTAGAACCTCTAGCTGCTGTTTGGGAGCCCAAGAAAGGGGATGGAGGGAATGAGCTCAAAAGAAAAGAAAAGAAAACAAAACAAAAAACAGAATAATGTGGGGAAGGCAGATTTCCTTCTTTAAAAAGGAAAATAGGAAACCCTCCAAGGATTGTGCAAGTAAAGACAATGTGTCGAATGCACTGAGTCCCCTGGTGTAGTAGCAATAAGGAAAAATGAAATGACTTTCCTGTGCACACAGTCCAGCCTGATTGGTGTGTGATGTTGCACTTAGCAGCCATCTGGTGGGCATGTGTGACTACTCTGGGTTTCACTTTAGTTTCTAAACTTTTTATCTCTCTCAAGTCCAGCATGGATGGGGAAATGTTCCTTGAACCCCACAGCTGTGTACTTGTTTGCATTTGTTTCCCCTTGAGACTTGTGTTTGTGTCCTGCTTTGAGCTGTACCTTGTCCAGTCCATTGTAAAATTATCCCAGCAGCTGTAATGTACAGTTCCTTCTGAAGCAAGCAGCAGCAGCACAATTCTGTGTTTTATAAAGACAACAGTGGCTTCTATTTCTAAAGTGCGGTCTCTCTCCTTTTTTTCTTAGCAAAGAAAATTCTTGGGATGAATTATATCTCTGATAGGTTTTAGATTAGAATAATAGATTGATATAAGAGTAGAACCATCACTTACTAAAAGGAGGACAGTGGGTAAATCAAATTCCAGAGTGTTGAAACTGCAGATCATATGTAATCATATTTCATAGGGCCTCCACTTATTCTTCATTCAACAAACATGCAAAGCACTGTATCCCACAGTATTGTGGGGAAGTAGGCAGGCACAATTCAAAAATGAGGAAAATAGCTCCTTAAGGAGCTTAAAAAGTTTGGTGGGGGATGTGAGTGGTCATATGGTTCCCAGGTACCATTTAGAGAGAGCGATTGAGGGACTGAACAAGCTGTAAGTCAGTAGCAATGAAATAGCAAAGGGCAGACTTGATAGATGCTCAGGAGATAGACTTATTTGGACTCAGTGAATGATGGAACGGGAAGAGAGAAGTAGAGGCTAATGCTCACTCTGCTTGAGCAAGTAAGTGTATTGGGACAGTCCTCTAGCCAAGATTAGGGGAAAGGGGAGGCAATAGAAGGAAGGTGGTGAATTTTGCGAAGAAATACAATTAACCTTGTATAGACTCAACTTTTAGGTTCCCAAGGGGCAACAAGGTTAAGGTTTCCAGTAAACACAATGTTTTGGTGCTCAGGGAAGACTACAAAACTGCAGTTATAGACATGGGATTCACATTCATATAAATGGTAGTTAAAGCCATTGGAGTGAACAAGTTGGCTTAGAAAAAGAGTAGAGCATGAGAAACCTAGTGTGCAACTCTAGGAAACACAGTTTAAGGGATGAGGAGAGGAAGCAAAATGGAAAATGACTGTCAGATTACTGGTAAATACCTTGTATATTTTTGCTTGATTTAATGAGGTGGGAGATTAGTCAAGAGAGTAGAATAGGATTCAAGAAAAATGTTATTAACATCATGACAACTGATTTTCACCATGAAAACTGAAAAGAGGGTATTTTTCTACGTAGTTTACCATCCTCCACCCCGTCTTTGGGATCTTATAACTATTGGTCATTCTCCAATATTTCTTAAAAATGAACATTGGAAAAACCTAACTTAAATAACGTTAAGACTGGGACTTCCAAGTTGTTCACCACCACCTCCACCTCCAGCTTCCTTCTATCCTCAGGAGATACTTGTAAAAGAATAAAATAAACAAACCTAATTTTGTTCCTAACCAGTGTCATAGATGGTGTTCCAGTGTACTTGATAGCTCTTAGCACCTTTCTCTATTTACTTTCATGACTTGTTTTCCCCAGAGCCCGTGAACTCCTAGAAGCAGAAACTACATTCTAATCATTTTTGTCATCTCAGAGCCATAGCATATATCAAGGGGTCAATATTTGTGAGTAGAATTGAAATGAGCTAGAAATCTGTGGTTCATGAATACAGAGGCGGGAATCAAGAAGTGATATTGAGTATACAGGATGGACTCAGCATTCCTGAATCTTGAGGTAAGCAGAGACAACCAGATTATCGTCACCTTTTCTCACTCTCATCCCAACACAGGGGTTCTATGATTTTGTACCTTAAGCTGTTGGTGTAGTTGTCAAGCATGTAAGTTCAGGCATTCCTCCCTGGTGCTTCTAGAGCATTGTTATTTCTGTGTATTGGGGGAAGGTGCACAGAAAAGGATTCTGGCACAGGGCCCAGTAAGAAATCTTCAGTGGCAGCTAGTATGTATGTATATGGGCCTAGCAGTCCTCTGGGGGCCAAGTGTTGTAAACTTTTCAAATTTCAGAGATAACCTGTAGCTACCACCTGCCAGATTCTCTCAGAAGGAAGCCAGCCAGACCCATGCTCCCTTTTAGCAGCAAGGACTAGTGAGGTTGGTTGAACTTGAAGAGCAAATTGGAACATGGGGGAGATTTTTCCCAGTTGAAACAAGACTTAAACTTATGACCTTTAATGAAGCAGAAATAAAGTGTTTAGCAGGGTGAATGGGAAGATGATCATTACGGCACATTTTTGCTATAAATTTCAGTTTCAGAAATGATTGGTGTTAAATAGGTTTCAGGACGTTGGTTGCTATTCAAGAGGAAAAGATGGTGGAAGCCCACGGCCTGATTTGTTTGGTGCTGGAGCTCAAGGTTTGAATTAAGGCTTATCCTGGCACCCCTGGACATCCTTTTTCAGTATTGGTTGAGCTGCCTTCCTTCCCTCTGCCCTGTCAGTTGGCATCATATACTGTAGCACATCCTGTCTATCAAGTGGCTTTGGGGCAGGATGAGGTTGGGTGTTTGTTGGATATCACTTGGCTTAACAGACCCCAGAATCACATGGCAGTTAGGGGTTGGTAGCTAAAGGAAAGGGTTATAGTGCAAAAAGAAGAATATTTTCAAGTTCTGAGCCTGGGCTATCCTCAGACTTGTCTGTACTGCTTGAATAGCATTGAATTGGAAAATTATCTCTCCCTTTTTGTTTCTAGCTTTCAAGACATTTATTCTTTTGTCTATTGGCTAAGGAAACCTGGCAGGCTTAGAAGGTGCACAGAGCATGACAGAAGCACTCTTTTAAAGTAGTAGTTGTCAAGGGGGAGCTGAAAAGTGGACTTGTTGGAGATGAGGTGCATTTAGAAGTTCTCCATTTAAGTACCACTGCTGCCTTCCCCAGGATACCATATCAAGGTTTTTAGACCATTGTGGCTTACCCTGAAGGAATACACTGTCCTCTTGTTCTAGACTGCAGCGGTTTCACCACTATCCTCTTGGCAGTGTCTTTTAGGGACAAAGAAATTTTGAGGACCTTTCTAAGGAGTCCTCTGTCCCTCTTCCCTACCTTCTAGAGGCAAGGAACTTTCCTTGGAAAAGAGGCAGTGGGAGCTCCCAGCCAGGTTTTTGGAAAAGGCCTCTGGGTTGTTAATGGAAGTGAACTGGAAAACGAATAGGGGCTTGGGTACTTTGAAGTATTTGGTTAGGTGTTTTGTACAGTATCCATTGTATTATTTAGTTGCATCTTCATGGTATTCATGTGAAGTAGTGTATCAGTTACCTTCAATTGCATATAACAAAACCCAATGAAATTGGCTTAAATACGGAAACCTTCACATGACAGGAAGCCCTGATTTAATATGGCTCCAAGGTTGGTTAATTCAGTGGTTCAGTGATAACAGGCTCTTGGATCTTTTTGCTCTGCTGTCCTTTATATTGATTTATCCTCATGCTTGTTCACCTCAGCATGCCAACATGGCTACTATAATTCCAGGAAGGAAATGTTGACAGAACAGTGTCTAGGAGAAGAGGGACTAATTTCTCCCAATATTTCATTTTAAAGAAAGGAAATCCCCGGAAGCCCCAGCAGGTCTGGCCTCCTGTCTCATTTGCTAGAAATGGATCATCTTCCCATTATTCTGCCATTGGCAAAGCAAATGAGATCATCCATCTTGAGTGGCTTAGATTAATTAGGAGTTATCCTATGAGTCATGTGGATTAGAAAGACAAGTCATGTTTGCTAAGCAAGAAAGAAAAGGATAAGGGCTCTTGGGTAGGCATCCAGCAGTGTCTGCTCAATGTAGGTACTCTGGTTTTTACAGATGAGGAATGTGATGTTCAGAGAGAGTGACTTTCCTAGAGTCACAGATAGTAGCAGAGGGCCTTCAGTGACAGCTCTGACTGTCCCTAAAGCCAGTATATTATATATTGTGCTGCAGTATAAAGTAGCTTGCTTTCTGCTGTGTAAAAATGCTGGTCTAGGAAAATATTTCAAGTGTTATGTTGGCTGACTTCAATCCATGCAAGAGGAGAGGATTCTGTCCAGTTGCTTTTCTCATCCAGTCATGTTTATCTAGCACAGGAAGCCTAGGAATGCCACTTTCAGAGGACACAGATTTCCTTGCCCCCCAAATTTGTTTTCTTTTATAGTTTTCCCTTCTGAGAGCAACCAGTATCACAAGGGATGAGGGCAGAGTTTTAGCCTGTTTCCTGAGCCCCATTCTTGAAGCCCAGTTATCTATTTGTCCATCCATCTTGCCCCACAAATATTTACGAAGTGCTGCTATGTGCCAAGCATTCACACTGTTCTAGGCACTGGGGCTATGACAGTTAAGATACAAAAAGACCCTGCTCTGTGCCCTTAAGAGCAGACTTGTGGAAAGTGAGGTTATCCAAATATAGGGTTTGCATGTGATCAGGGGAGAGCCTCCTTCAACTTTGCTTTTGGCAGAATCATTCAAACCTTTTGCCTTCCTACTTCCTGATTTTACAATTCACATGGGCTTATAGGTGAGGAGGTCTCTGGATAGCAGAAGTAGATGGGAAGGCATCATTGACATTTACTAAATTGGACTGAAGTAGAAGGTCCAAATCCTGCTTCACCCATCTCAACAAAGAAGAAGATGGCCCACTTCCAGGGTTCATCATCATCACTATGCCTGATCTGGGAGACACTGAGGAAGCCTGCAGTCATTTAGGGAACCAGTTGAGGGTGTGATAGGCCCTTGATATTTACCCCTGTCGAATGCTGCTACCTGCTTGGATTGTGTATAGTCAAGGGTTGAAAATAACTTTTAAGATACAGTGTTTAATCTAGTGACATTTAATTTGATACTTAAAATTGGGGAGGGCATTTTCAGTAAGAGGGTTTTATGATTGGAAGGAAGAAGTGAAGCAGAATTAGAGTCAGTGTGGATTTGAATCCCATCCATTTACTGTTTACAGTAGGTGCATCTAATAAGCGCTTTAAAAAGGTAACTATAGTAGATACCTTTTTTCTTCATTAACATCTAGGGAGGGTTTTCTCTGTGCTTTATGTACATTTCCTAACTTCACAACAGCTGAGGAAACTGAGCCCCGTCAGGATCAATTGACTGATCCAAAGTCCCACAATAATTGGGGGGAACTAAAAATAGGATTTTTCCCCCTTTCCTCTTTGTCCCAAGCTTTAAAAAAAAATACGTATTTTTGATTATTAAAACTCTAAACATTACTGATGCTTAGGGACATAGGGAGAAATCATGAATCATTCCTCGGCCTAAATAAAAAAGTATCACATTTCTTTACGGCAACAAATACTAATGTGCTGGTCCTAATAACCTTATAAAGCCTACATTCTAGAGGGAGAGAGGGATGCAAACTAGTAAAAACTGCTGACTGGGATAAGGGTTACTAAGAAAATACTGTAATAGTATACAGGAGTGCCTCACCATTGATCGGAGGTCTGGAAAGGGCCTCTGAGATGTCCTTAAGTTGAGGTATGAAGAGTAGAGGGGAAGGAGTGCGGAAAAGAGAACAGAGGGTTCCTGGCCAAGGGAACCAGAAGTAGAGAGGCTCCAAACCCAAGAGAAGCGCTTTGCCTGGTGGAGGAATTAGAAGCAGACGAGTATAGCTGGAACATAGTAACGGGGAGAAGTCTTCTTTGAGGGGAAAGACAGGGCCCCTTTACACCATACGGTTTGGCCCTGTAATGGAGTTTGGGTCTTAGTGTGACCAGGCGTTATTGAAGAGTTTTAAACATGAAAATTATTCGATATGATATTTGTGTGAAGTCCTGTTTCTTAATCTTTCCCTAAGTTATATTGTACATCCCCACCCCAACCCCCCCGTCCCCAAATGGTCGTCAAAGCAACTCTACAGACTTAAGAGTGATCCTCGGTGGTGGACACTAGACCGCGGGTTGAGTAGGTGGCGCGTGGGGCATCCAAACGGGGCGTGGCGGGAGGGCTGGAGAAGAGAGCCTCGCCCCGAGACAATATCGGCCCGGGGCCGTCACAGCTGCAGGTTTTGGTCCAGCACCTCAGGCCGGCCACGCTCCAGGCTCCACTCCCTGTTACCTACGCCGCCTTCAGCGACGTCGTCTCAGGCAGGCGCGGCCCCGCACCAAGGTGGCGGGAGGGGTCCAGTACTTCGGGGTTGTCTCCGGCCGGCACGCCCCGCGGAGGACCGCGCG